GGATAATAGAAGAATGTGTGAACATTTAGAATAGTGATAAAAAAAGAATTGATTTTACGTTAACAGACGTGATGAGAGTGACAAGCTGAGGCGACACTCACATTTCTCTGTCATTTTTCAATGTTTGAAGGTGTAATTGTGTTATTCAAAAGCAAACTGGAGTTTTTATATAATACATTTTCTGACGATAATCGACTAGTCCATATATAGTTACCGGAAATTGTCACAAAGGAAAAGGTACACGGTCACATGGTGTCGTCAATGGGTAATCAATATTGTATTGTTGCTAGAACTTCCAATTTTTGGGTTAGTGTTACGCTCAAAGATTTGCGTCTCATTTGTCGGTGATAATTAGCAGACCAACAGGATTTATTTGTTTATTTACGCAATGGCTGAAATATCAAGCACAATGCAACCCGATCTGGGCTACCCACTATTGATAATATTAAAAGTTATGTCTTTGTTAATTCACGATAAATTTGGCGGAGAGTCCGCACAGACAAAAAGTTTATCTAAATATGGAAAAGTTACATTTACGGAGTATCATCAATAAAAGAAATGGATCATTTAAAATATCTTCAAGGACAATTACACTAAATACAAGTCTACGCTCTTGTATTAATTCTTTCTGTCCTCTTCGAGCTTATTTTTTGCTCAAAGTATTGTTCCGTTGCAGAGGTGAGTAACTGGTTTTGTGTAAGAATCTGTACATGACGTTTACAATTACTTTAGGCGTGATTATCGCTCCAAAAGCAGTTACATTATTTCCCCACCCCAAACACATCATCTGATAATTCTCCCAGGAACCAGTGGATTATCTAATAGTTCTCACAAGGGGCTAAAACTATGGTAGAGTTTATTCTCGATTCAGTTCTAAACGTCTAGATTCTGTTCATTAATACCAGATCTTAACGAACAACCGCACGATTGCCTCGGAAGAAAGGGTCTTTCAGTAAGACCGCGTAGTACAGTTCAATCCTCAATCGTGACATGTCTTTGTTCTAAACGCTTTAAGTGCTTTGGAAATCTTGCTAATTTTTGTCGGTTTTTCTTTTCGCTGGGAGAGGCAATTTAACTAATTTTGCATTGATCGGACTGATGTGAGTAAACTATACTGCGCTTAGTATTATTCTTTGGTTAGGGTAATTCGCGTGATTATTATCTATCAAGGATTAATTTATTTGTTATTGATTTCATTACGGGTATAAAACTAATATATTGCAAATAATTAGTTTCAGACATTTTGTATGCTACCAGAAGTGCGGAAGTTATTAATTGACCATGACAAAAGTTTTTGTTCAAGAGCATTAGCACATTGCCATACCTGCACAGTTGAAGCTTCATGGTTTAGTTCGTTCTTCCTAAGTGTTTATTACAGAAAAGGGGTGTATAGTGATTACGTGTATATTGTAATATCGATATTTAAATTTAGATACTGACTTTTATTGATTGATTGACATAGAATTATGCGTATATTATTATTATGGAAAGACAAGTAACTACTGTTATGTTAATTAAATAAAACACTGAAAACAAATTACAAAAGCATAAAATTTATATATAGGAATACCCGTATATGGAAAATTATAATTATACTGGTTCGACTGAATACGAAAGGGCGATACTTTTTTTGGAATTAGGTTGCGATTATGGTTGTTCAAAAAAGATTTCAAGAGAAGATTACGCAAAAAAGATGGGACAGGATATGAAGGAAAATACTATGACATGCTAATATGAAGAAGCCGACAACCACAAATTAGTCCGAAAAGCTCAAAAAATTTTTCAAGCTCTTTCTAGGTCTAAACAAGATATATTTTTAATGGCCCAATTGAAAGCAATGAATGGTGGAGAAATAACCGCCAGTCGACGTCTTAAACAAAAACGCGTACTAACGAGAAAACTTTTTATTATTGAGATCGTAATACGCTGCTTTGTCAGAAAACGTATCTCAGTATGCTAGGAATTGGCCGCACTCATTTCGAAAACGTCAGAAATTATCTAACAACATGGTATAATACCATGCGTTCATGGTAATGTAAAAAAAGTGCCACGATGGAAAACCAAGATAATAATAACCATTGACTAACTGTTGCTACATCTGTGGTTTCATGTTTTCGCTGGAACAAAATAAATTGACCAATCACAAACTAACGAGATTTTTTTATTAGTGATTTCATGCCAGTTTTCCCCTTTCATTCTTCAACAAAACAATGTACATGTGCATTCATAATCGTGTTTCAGAATACGTCTTTTCAGTATTCAACGTAATCCCGGGATCATCTTGGCTGTACCTAAGAAAGCTGTATTCACACAGTGAGAAAGTAAACTAATATTTCAACGATGTCATAAGATACGTACATTAAGCTGGCGCTTCAAATATTCAAGCCAGTAGTTATCATGGTCTTTTCTGAGGAGTGCGCCAGGCTCTGCACCAGGGGGCCAGGGTACAGTTCGGCTCATGGACAGAGGGTATCTTCCTCTTTGATCAATCCCGCACCATTCAAAGTCAACGAGTATTGCACTAATTGTTGACTCTGACGGCACCCTTTCAACCAGCAAAATGTTCGGGGTTCGGAGATCTCCGAATACAGTGTTTGTATTGTGCAGTACGGCAATCGCTTGTAAGACATCGCTGTAGATATTATTGCGATCTTTCCTTGAAATGTTCATAATCTCGGAAGGTTGAAATGATGAAAGTGGGCGTATTCCATAATTATCATCCTAAATCCATATTGTGAATTGCCAGCGTGGATCAAGCGAGGAGCAAATCCTGCATTAGCGCATGTCGAGTGCGCCTCATGATCATACAGTGGTGTGCAAAAAAAATTGCAAAACTTTAACCTAACATTATTTCACAATGGCCATACCAATAAGCATGTTTTATACCTTGAATGAAAGCTTAAATTGAGCAGATTTTATTGA